GTCACTTAATGAGGAGCTTGATTTGTCTTGGGTCGCGGGTATCGTAGTACGACGGTTTTCGTGGTGCAGATCGTGGTCGTTACGCAACGTTTCCTCCAGGTCCTAGGGTCGAATCTACCCATAACAATACGATAATTTCAAATATATTGTACGTACCAGAAGTGCAACAAACTGTACAGTATAGTTAAATGGCGTGTGAAGGGGTGTATCTGATTCACATGTGACTTCATCTAAATGAGGAGTTTTGTACATTGATATTATGCATAAATTTCACATACCAATACTGTTCAATGGTGCAATTTGACAGTGCGTGATTCAAGAAATATATAAATCTGGTTATTGATTTAAATACAAAGACTTGCTGTTTTCATTATGACTTATAAATTTATTAGCAACTGAGTGCAACAAAGAGTATGACTAATAGATTTTTTAGGAATTTTTATACGTATTTGTGTGCTTGTATGATCTTTTACGTATTAACGTTACGCATACTTAGATAATAAATTTATAGAACTAGTTAAATGCACAGCATTGCATGTCCGGTGAGAGTACGTATTAAATTATATATACTATATATATATACGTGTTACAATTGGAATAAACTACAAAATGCGCATTTTAGCGGGTTAAAACTTCTATGCATAGAACCATGATAAAATTTAAAATTTCGATTAAGCAATGAAATTTTTACGATATCAGAATGATCTACAAAAATTATCAAATCACCATTAAAGCCGATTATGCTCTTTGAGGTGGTCCTCACTTCGATGGCGGTGAAGCAGGTAATAAGATTCACTATTCTTCTTAGAGTTGGTTCATCCAAAAAAAGCGAGCGACCAAGCAATTTTCTAACCACTTTTTATTAATGCACAAATCACGTCATCTGAATTTTGTCAAAAATAATGCATTATTTGCGAATAAAATAAAATAAAAAACTAATGGATACGCGTGTAGATAGTACGATCTAACTAAAAAAAAATTTGTTGCAATATTTATGATCGCCACTGCATAATGCACTTACGACACAATTAAACAATTGTTGATCTACTAAAGACCTTTGAATACCAAACCGGGTTTGATTTACATTCCTATTGAATATGATAATCAACTACATTACTAAAAATACCATTCATTATGTATAACTTCAAAGGAAAAAATACAAAGGATGATAATGCACTATCATATTAGCTTTATTATACAGAATGACAAAATAGATGTTAGTCCTAATATGTATAAGCAATAATTATTTTCTCTCGGATTACCATTGCAAACTATACCATATTCAATATTAAATTTCTTAATTCAATTAGTTCAAAGATACCTTATGTAGAAAACTATGGAAATAGTGCCGCTCCTTAGCTGCTAATAAAATTATTACTTTAACGCATTCCTAATTTATCTCTAATCTCTTTCTTGTTAGATTAACACAGTGTGGGTAGTACCCAGTTGTCCAGCCTATTTAAGAACAGTGTGGGGTGTACACAGCTGTTCCTACTAACTTAAATCGCAACAGTGTGGGGTGTTTACAGCTGTTTCATTCTAAATTATTCAAACAGTATAGGGTGTACATAGTTGTTAATACGTGAATGGTGCAGGGAATGTACAGCCATTTCTGTTCTGTGGGTGTACAACTGCCTATTTTCTCTTAATTACCCAGTTTCGTTGTGATTTCACAGCGTTAAATAGTATCGATATGCGGTAAAGGCAAGAATCGTTTGTTAGTTGCCTATTTCTTTATTTTGAAAGGGGGAGAACCTTTCGATTAGCCAGAAAATAAGGTTTCGAGCAACTTTGAAAAGCAGCGAAAGAAAAACACAAAATTCATTCTTGAATTTGTGGCTTATTTATACTTATCATTAGACTCGTAAATCAGTGACCTAATAATTCATGCAATTCTCTTTTACTCCCTAGGTCAATGATCTAATAATTCATGCAATTTCCACTATTTGACTTACAGATCAATGACCTCATAACCATAATGATCATGGGGTCATGTGATCCCGCGATAATATCCCTCTTGTGCCTACATCACAGTCGGTCCTAATGTATGAACAACGTCAAAATGCACATGTGTTTATGATAAATTTGAATAGCGATTATACGTACCATATTCACATAAACTCAATGATTGTAACTTTAGCCTCCGAAAATCCTGACTTAATTAAGTATAACTTTAATTTTTTTAATTTCTATAATTGTTTATATCTGTTACATTTTATCAAAATAATTTTGTGCATATCAATAGAATTCCTAAAATAACGTGAAGTTGTAGAACCAACCACTTATATTATGCAGTCGTCCTCGTTATCAAAATAGATCATTCTGGTAATTTCTGTAGAAGCTGTCGAATTTAGCTTCTATATTTTTTGTTGCATCTTATTGAAGTTGTTAGTTTAGGAAAAATGTAGGTACTAGATTATGCATCTCTTTTGTAAATAGTGGTTCATATCAGATATCATGTAATTCACTATATCTTTCAGATTTCTGGGGTTTCAAGACTCGCCCTAATCAAAAGTTTAATTTTCACTAGATTTCCAAATTCTTCGATTTCTTATCAGATGTAAATTTTATTATGATGCAATGAAGTACACCCTATGACGGTTAAGAAGAAAAAGAAAAACAGATTTCTTCGATTCTCACATAGGTATGTATACATTGTTCACATTTTGAATGCAGCCGTAAGGTTCTGCATCATTGCAGAAAATTTAAACAAACTAGTAACACATTTAACCTCATTAAACTAAATAGAAATAATGAAATATTGCTTAGAAGTGTACATGCACTGAAACTTAAATAAACCACTATTGAGAATGACAAATTTAGCTTATCTCTTAGATTTTTATTGTAGTTCTAATTCTGCACTGTATGATACAACGACGAAAGAATCTAGAATCAAATCGATAATCTAATTAGCCAATTTGATCAGACCATTTCGATTTAGGAAGGTGCACCACAAGTATATACATTATCGTTAATTTGAATAAGCATGATTGCATCGTATCACATGAAAAAATCACCTGCAGAAATATCATAATAAGGATTTGCCGGATAAATATGTATTTTCGTGTAATAAAACACCACATGCGATATATGCATGTATATTATTCTCAGGGGATATCAACTAAAAACTACAATAACACCTTATAGAGACAAAATAAAAACAATACTTCATTTACTATTTGATATTTGATATTTCTTATTGTAAAATCATATAGAAAACGTTTCTTTTTCACAGGAAGATGGTTAGAAGTTATATATATGGTTTTATAATAAGAAATGTCAAATAACTAATAGTAAATGACGTGCTTCATAGTGAGTCAAAATGCTTTAATTTCATAAATTCATCAAAATCTAGATAAGTAAATATCTGATTACAGACGCATTTTATTTACCTATTGTATAAAAAAACGACACTGTAAATAAAATGCTATTTTAAAATTTTATACTTAGAGGTAAAAGAAGGATATTTTAGTAAAATTTTATGTTAGCTACGGTTTGTTGTTTTTTTTTTTGCCTGTTTTGTTACTCGAAGATCTTCATTATTTTATTGGGACTCCTTGATTATAGTTTATTCCAAGCAAATAATCGTGTAACACAATTTCTTAAATTATCGACTTCAATCATGTTTATATTTTGTCTTTATAAGGCATAATTGTAGTTTATAAATTTTTTCATGCACCTTATTTAAGTACGTATATATATTGTATTAAGTCGATAATTAAAGAATTATTTTAATATGTTATATACTTTGTCATGATTGTTAATTCTTGCTGGATTTTTTAATACTTTTAGCCGACCAATTACCGATAGTCTATATTTAAAGTTTAATTCAAGTTTCAGTATATGCTCACAAATTATTTCTACAAATAACTGTTTCTTTTTTGTATTATTACACAACATATTCAGTCACATTTATAAAAGACGAAAAAAAAAGATTCGAAAAAAGGACATTATTTTAACAAGATGAGTTCTGAACCAAATGAAGATATTATTAAGACTCCTCAAGAAGTTAAATATTTTATCATAGAATCAAATGAAAAATATAAATTACATGGAAAAGATAAATCGGATGACCCTGATATAGATGAAGATACTAAGCATCAAATAATTAAATTCTTTATTGTGAGATTAAATGAAGAATATAAATCATATCAAAAAAATATGAGATTTCGTCAAAATCTGTACGTTGCAGAGATTTTTATATCGTTGATTTCTATTTTTCTTGGTCAATTATTCGCATTGGCGGAAGACTCCGATATAATGGCGAAAATTGGAACTCAAATATCATCAATATTTGGTGCAATTGGTGTGTTAGTAACTGTTGTTACTGCATATCTTAACAATACTGCACAGAAATATCTTGAAACAGGTAGTTCAACTGAACTCGATGAGAATACGTTCAAACCTATGTATTTACATATTAATGATAAAGTTATTAAGAATTTTGGTAATTCATTCAAAGGAAAATCAGAACCGTCTGATAAGCTCACATTGCTTGATTTTTATGTAATTAAATTGATGCGAAGAAATGATATTTTGTTAAGAGAAAGAATTTTCGATATGACAGTTTCTGTTTTTTTCTTTTTTTTCATTCTCGGAATATCAATTTTTTTATCGCTTCTTTTTCAAGTTCCAAATCAAACCTACATAACTAGGGATGAAGAACGAATTTTAAGACTTTCTTTGATGTATTTAGGAGGAATCTGGATTGTTTTAATTATTCTTTCAAAATCATTTGATTTTATTGAAACTTTAGAATTTAGAGTTTATGCTAAAAAGGATGATAATCTTCCTGAGGGATTGTTTACATCATTTCGATATATTCTTTATTTTTTTAATTTTTTTTTGATTATTTATTATTTCGTTATAGGCAGAATTAAATACGAAAGAGATTTAATGGAGGAACTTACTGACGATCCTAAGACAATACCTAAAAGAAAATTACATAGAGTTCGCTTGAAATTATATCCACAATGGGTTGCTAATATTGAATTAATTCTAAATGGAATCGGACCTATAATTGATGAGAAGGATTATAATAAATTTAGTAATAGAACTATATCTAGACAAGTTTATACCGCGAATAAAAATTTTAAAAAAAGTGAGTAGAATACCGGAATTAGTATAACGCTTAGTTTGCTAGTTTACGTTAGAATGTATACATAGTAAATTTTAATAAAATCTGAAATTTTTTTAAATCTGAAATTATCTCCTTACCTTGCTTGTCTTTATGCTCGTTCATTTTCTCTTCAGAATTTTTCATAAAAGTAGAATCGCCACCCTAAAAAATTTCAAAATTATTTCAAATAAAACTTTGTTTGTTTAGTTAAGGTTTAGGAGGCAATATTTATCATAATTTTGCAAGGAAAATTTGTTATGTTACACCTGTTCTTGAAATTTGATTGGCTGTGGAATTTTTGACTCTTATAATTTCTAATCTTAATTCTGCTCGGCACTCCGACCAAAATTTTTAACGGGAATGTTATGATGGTTGTGGTGATTAAATGAAGTGATATACGTAATGATTTATAAATGCCAGGAACGGAGTTTCTGTAAGTGAAAATGGATGGTATGGTTTACAGCAGCATGGTGGTAGAATTCAAAAAAGGAAATTATTACAATGTTACTAATCATTTTCATTGTTAAAATTCCCTTTTTTGAATTCTACCACCACCTATAGTGGCGATCATAAATAATACAACAAAAATAAATTTTTTTTTTTTTAAATCGCAATTCCGGTTCTTTTCTTTTCAATTTTTTTTTCATTTTATTCACAAATACTATCTTTTTTAAATATTAAAATTTTAATGGCTGTTATAATTGCCGATGCGAAGATAATTGTGCATTAATTGCAAATCACGCTTCGCCTTATTTTTGATCGTTTTTGACAAAGATCAGATGACTCCTACTGTACTATCTAAGCACATATCAAAATTTAAATTCACTATCATTCTTACATCTCTGTATTATGATAAAGCACTTGATAAAGTTTTAACAAAAATAAAAAAAAAATGCTACAATCCAAAGAAGCCCGAGTTTCTTTTTCGCTGTGAAGATTGAGCGCATAATATTGCTTTTTTGTCTATAAAAGTTTCTGTACTTCACACTCATGAAGAATTAATAAAGGTTAATTGTCTAATTATCAAGTGCGAGCAAAAACCAGAAAAAAACATTAAATTGAATAATCTTCGATTGTCACTTAATTGTCGTTTAAGTATGAAAAAAAATAACGATATTTATGATTTAATAGCCAATTATTCTTTTTATACTTTAAAACTACAGGTTAAATTAGAGATTAAATAAAAAATTTCCTACCAACGTAAATACAAGTAAAAATGTTGGCTAAAACTTACAAAAAAGTATGAAAATTAGTTTATCAAAGTTAATCTTAGATAATTCAATATAATGATTCAAAATTTTAAGGTTTTTTGATCGAAAGGTTGTGAGAAGTTATTAAGAAATTTAGAAGTTCACTTTCTTGCTATTAGTTTTTTTTTTTTTTTTTGACAATGTATTTGAAAAACAAGGTTTTGAGTGTTTATTATCCAAATATCTCCACCTTATATGAATTTATTACTACGCATTGCGGCAACCAAATTAAATTGATTCAGAAGGGTGACGAAGAAGATTATACAAACTTACTAAAAACCTCACTTATGAATGATACAAAACGGTCCTTTCCATGTTACTTGTTAGGAAGTGTTTCGGAAAAAGAATATACAGAAGTATACTTTAGCTACTAAATTTGCTAAGTGATGATTGTTCGTTAAAAAACTAATCTAAATTTTGCCGGTAGGTGGTTAATAATGTTATTATAGAACTTGTTAATGAAAAGACAGCCTCGAGCCGAAAAAAGCAACCCAACGGTTTATCGCTTGGCTTTAATGATGTTAGTATAAAATTTTCAAACATGTATATTGTGTATAGAAGACATTTAATATCAATTTGTCAATAATCCTTGATTGAAAACTGTTATTAGGTACCAAATAAATAGGGTGTTATTATAGAATATGAAAATTCATGCAGAGATTATATTTGACGCTTACCAGCATTGAAAAAGCTTTACTCTAGGTAAATAGTCTGATCTGATTACAATAAAATAAACCCGTAAAATGTATAAAGTTGAATAGTATAGTATTTTGTAGGTTTGGTAACTATAACAAATTATATGAAATTCATAATTAAATTTATTTATTATCAATTAGATATTAAAATTAATGAATTACCTAAACCGAATATTGATCATTGAAAGTCCAAATGTTATTTAAAAAAAATGCCATCTCATGAAGTCTTTGAAGAAGTATCATCTCAAGAAACCTTTAAAGGAAAAGGAATTTTTAAATAATTGTCATCTCATGAACCTTTTATAGAGAGCATGCCACAGGATATGTATATGGATTAGGAAAATTTGAACAATGTAATGTCATCTCAAGAAACCTTTAAGGGGGAACAGATTTTTGAAGAGTATCATCTCAGGAAACTTCTTCAGAAATGGTAATTCCAGGGGATTTGGGGGGTTGTAATGAAAATCAACGAATAATCTTTAAAGGTAATCGAAATATTTAATTTGAATTATCCTCGTTATTATTATGTATTATTATTATTATTTAATATTAGCTGTAGAAAAGTTCCTCACGCTTAGGTATTATGAAGAACTCTCGCTACACTATGTTTTGAATAAATTCAAAGTATTTAAATACACATCATACTACATAGTTCCAAATATTATTTATTATTGAACTTAAGATTAAGCAGTGCAAGTGGCTTTTTGTGGAGGGCCTAGAGTTCCAATTCATTATCCGTTTATCCATTTATCTATCGGATATCCGTTTTACTATTGATATCCGAATATTTATCGGATTATCCAGATATCAATAGTAAATGGATATCCGGATAAATTCAGATATGGATAAATGGATGACGGATTTATCCGGATTGGAACTCTGTGGAGGGCAATAAAATAACAAAGTCGAAGCTGATAAGAGATCCGAACTACAGTTAACCCTCTATAAATGCACTCTCCATAAATGCTGTTAGAGGGAAATCCGGTTAGAGCCGTTGAGTAACGATCGTCGAAAAGGTGACCGAAAACGTGACCGGAATCGTAATCTGGATCGTGACCCAAAACCGGCGATCGTATAACCCGATTTCTCCCCATTGTATGCAAGAGAAGCCCCAAGATTCGGAACAAGGCGCCCACGATTGTACGCCTGGGCCCCACATGCGACAATTATCGCTAAACCTAAAAAGGAAGTAAGACTTAGTAGAACCACCACGACGTGCAACAAGGAAAAAGGTGTGATACTTACTTTCACGGGCTTACAACAGAGCCTTAACCCGCAAAGACGTTTTGGGTTATGCGGCTATAGTTCTATCGGCGGGACCTACGAAATAGAGAAAGTAATTAAAAGACGGAATCATGAGTCAAAAGGTGAGATTGTACAATTAAGGAAACATTAATGCAAGAAAGGAAGGACATTCCCAAGTATACTTCCCTGATAATTCGTTATAAAAGCCTTCTGTTTCAACATTAAGTGGGATAGGACCCCCTCCCGAGGACCCCCCCCAAGGACCCTACCCCATGGACCCCCCATGAACCCCCAGACCTTCTACTCCTGTAAATTAAAGGAAATAATAATAAATAAGAACAGTTATAAATTATAAAAAGTGCAAAGAGTGTAATACCAATAAACGTTCTTTGAAAAGTCCCCATACTTACCCAGTAACTTGCTCGAAAGCTGCCTTAGCCATTGCCAAATCGTACCGCCTCATCTTGCTTTCGAGTAACATTACGTGACATCGACAATTTTGAAGCAACAATTCGTCACAGTTGCTCCATCCTAGAATTCACTCTATTTCCCCATGACAATGCACACACTATGTATGCCCTCTCTAAATGCACATGTTTAAAATTTTTGCTTATAGTCCCAAGAGGGTGCATTTACTGAGAGTTGACTGTATTATATGAATTTATTTGGAGGATATTTGATTGCTTAAAGGATTGAAATTTGATTTTAAATTTTTCTTGAAGGATTTTTTGGGCTTAAAGCTAAAATTTTTCAAAAATTAATTTGAATGATTGTCAGGTAAACAGCGAGTCTGTTGCTCCAACAGACAAGACCTCGCATAATGATACTGTTATTCTATTGCTTCAAGTAAGAGAAATCAAATTCTTAGTATTTCTTGGATTCAAATTTTTGGTCATTAAATTTATTTTATAATATTCACATTGCTTAGGTTAATGTCTATATAACTACCAATGCAAAATACAAAAATCACATGTTTTACTATCATAAAGATATCTGGTTAGAATTGAAATATAATATTAAATATTTGCCAATAAACACTTTTGAGAAAGTTTTCAAAGTATTTAAATTCATTATTAAAAATACTTATGTTTAATACATACTTTAATATTTAGTAATAAATGTTTATATTGTATTTTTAGAAAACTGAAAAACCATTTTTAGACAATAATATATTGAGATATTCTACTGTTTAATTTTTTTTAAAAGGGTCAAAAGGAACAATGCAATATATTATCAATATAAATAGAGTGCAAAAATAAGGTTAGTATTCAAATAACAATTATTAATTAAGTTATTCTTATTTATTTAACATTAATTTTGGCATAATTTACTTGTTATAACAATGTATACCTAATAAATAAATATTTTACTAGAATAGATAAATAGTAAAAAAAAACTAGAGCAATCTGTAAATGCAAATTTACAAGATACATTTCAAGTTCTAACATTTGAAACAACAGTGTTTATAGCTTTTAAGTAGTTTTTTTTATGTGTCAAATGGTTTTGATCTTTGTTAAAATATGTATTCTAGGGTTTTTCAAACCTAAATCAAATCAAATATTGGGTCAATTTGAATATAGTCAAATCAAATATGCCCTTGTTTTGATTTGATCAAATATTTGAATCAAATATTTGAATTTGATTTGATTTTCAATTTTAATCAATAAAGAAAAACTTAATTTATGAAAAAATTATTATGTTAATCAATCTTGAGCTTTTAAATAAAAATGTTATCTAAACAAAATACTTCTAGTTTTATAAAATGAAAAAGTTTATTATTTTAATAAATTTTTAAGTAAA